ACACTCTCTGGTGTGTCTCTCTAGTATCTAATTGTTACTTTAAGAGGAATAAGTTTAGCTAAACTTTGTTGAATATAATTAACAATTGGTTCCCTTGTCTAAATAATAATTTATGGAATTCTTAATTAATTAACTGCTTTAGAGATGTTTCAGTAGGTTGATTTGTTGCATTAATATTGGTTCCTTCTCCATCTTTAGCATTTATTTAATTATATTAGAAATCACTGTTTGGTTAAACTATTAGTTGGCTATTGTAGTGAGCTTTAAAAATCCTCATGATGATAGCGAATGACATGTTAAGTCTACTATGCGTAGCCGCGTATGTTGACTTAATGAGTAGTTAATTGCATTCTTGCTCACTTATTTCTCCCCTGTTCAGAGATCCTTATTGTCTGACCATAATAAATGAATTTGAATTATTGCTTTTAAGATTCATGTGTATTTTCTCTATTCAAACTTGCTAATTTTATTTTATTTTTCATTTTTTTTCCGCATGAATTCTCCTGATATGAGTCCAGTTTGGACTCCTATTCTCTTGCATTTGATCTTCTTTGAGTCAACCTCCGCCAAGTTACTAAAGGAAAGCTAAATTTATTGGATTGAGGACCCAAAACAAAATAGATAGCAGTAGCTTCAGGGGCCGAAAGAATAGCATTTTCTCGGTCTTGAAAAGCCTGAAAATGGCACCAGCAGAGGCAAACCAGCAGCAGCCCAAAAGGGCTATAAATTGGAGTTTTTTTTTTTGGACTGTAAAGTTCACTAAAAAACAGTAGCAGCAGCAGCCTCAAAGGGCAGAAAAACGGAGCAGCAGCAGCAGCCTCAAAAAGGCTAAAAATTGAGAATTTTTGGACCTTCAAAAGTCTAATTCAAACAGCGGCAGCAGCATCAACCCGAAGGATTGGGACTTGGGCTGAAATAAATTTCAGCAGCCTCCTTATTTTCCTTATTCCCTCGATTTGCTTTGTCATTGCTATATTTTCTTTATTATATTTGATTGAGAAAGCTAAAAACTTTAAGATCCTTTTTTCTTAATTTAGATGAATCCTTGGGGAGATATTTTTATTCAAGTTTTCAAATTTTGAAACTCGTCTTAAGTTAGGCAATTTAAGCTTGCTAGAATAACTTAAGAACCTTTCATGTTCTTTCATAGTTGTTGAAAAGCTTTGAATCCATGTTTATGAGTTTGAACTAACTATTTAGTTCAAATTCTTGAATAGGATAAAATCGATAAGTTTTCTTAAAATAAATTAGTTGTCTTTTAATTTAACTTGAGACTTTGTATGAATGACTTGGGGATTCTTTATATCTTTCCATAGTTGTTAAACAAGGTTTTTTTTTTATTCCATGATTATGAGTTTAAATTAATTGTATGATTCAAAACATGACTATGGATAAAAGTTTTAATTTAGGATTATTCTTGCGATTTTTAAAAGTATCAAGAGATTTTTATCCAAGTTTCAAACGAGATTTTTATAAGTAACCATTTTTACAAAGTTAGCCGAATTTTTAAATCCGTCGGTCAACCGCGTGTTAGCGGACTCTCTAAGATGCCTAAACCCTTCCTTAGAGAATTATTTGAACCCTTACCCGACTCTGGTTTTATTTAAATTACTTTCTTTCAAAATTCTCCTTTTAAATGGTTTTCTTAATTTTTCTAAAAAATTAAGTGGCGACTTTCAAATTATAAATTTTTCCAAAACTCAACAAAAATTGCCAAAGTTGCGAAAATGGTCTCGAAACCTTAGTTTTCAAAATCGAGTTGTAACATTCCGAAACAAAAGGATTTTTAGTTCCATTCAAAGGACTACGCTATCATTTGCAAGATTATCGAGGAAGTGAAAGAGAGCCTCAAAATGCCAAAGAACTATTTAATTATAGGCATTCATCTCTACGCAATGTGATTGAACGAACTTTTGGAGCTTGAAAAAATAGATTTAGAATATTGAAACAATGCATGAACCATTATGATATTGATACACAAGTGAAAATTGTCATAGCTTGTGCAGTGTTACATAATTATTTGCGAAAATATCAAAGTAGTGATAAAATATTTACGGTCTATGAACATGAAGATATAATTGCGGAGGATATTGACCAACAAATGGCTCAAAGTAACAATGTTGGTTCGTCTTCTCGGTCACATGATCGAGAAATGCAAGTTCAACGTGAGGAAATTGTTTGTACTATGTGGGAGGATTATATTAAAGACTAGTACACTACAATTTATGTTCAATTTTTTTTATTAAATTAAAGTTAGATAAAACAATTACTTAAGTGGAGAACAAATAACTTTGTAATAATTTATTATGCGATTTTGTAATTTTTTATTTATTTGATAAGATTGAATAAAAAATTGAGGCTATTTTAATAGTTTTACAACTTATGAAATTTTTTTGTTTATAAGAAAATATACAACACAAAAATTTCATATCACATGTCCAAATAAACCTTCAATTTCATCTCATGATTCCATATCATAATATCATATCATGATTCCATATCATGATATCATATCGCATGGCCAAACGGGCCCTTCATTTCTTACATATTTAAAAGACTCACCCAAATAACTTAAATCTGCACCCATTTACAACCCAAACCCCCCAAAATAAGGCGACTATTTGAAATATCAGTCTCACATTGAAGCTTAAAGGTCATCTTGCTCTATCAAGAACACTAATTCTTCTTCAGCAAAGCTCAACTCCGGTGCGGATTCTGATCCTGTCATCACAAAATCTTGAAATTTGATACTTATTAACTTCTTCTTTTTTCCCTCAATTTTTTGCTTTACTTTACTTGCAATAAGGTTGTTTTTGTCGTAATCATTATTGAGGGTTATTCTTTTTCATTGATAAAGTTGCGAACTTGAAAGCTAAAAAAATCTGTTCTCTACCCTTTTCTAATTGTGTTGGACAAATGGTGAAATGGGTTTGCTTTACTGTGAAAGAAGAGTCGTTCAAATCAAATTGCTGCTTTGACAAGTATTTGTAATTGTGCCCATAGATGGAGCTGACGTGAAAACACCTCTTCTCCTGTAAACATAATGGTGAGTTTCTTTTGGTACTGATCGATACCTTATGTTTCTATTGGGAAAAAGAGATTTGTGTTTTGGAAATGTTTGAAATTGAAGTCTTTTGTGTATGAAGTATTTTGGGGGATTTTGGGTTAGAAATTGGAAGTGTGTCTTAAAGTTATTTGGGTGGTCTTTTTGTTATGGGTAGAAATCAAGTAAATTTCGGATAGGCTTTAATATCGAGACACGTGTTTCTCCATTAGTCTAAAGGATATATACATCCCAAAACTTAGACGGTAAGGATACTAGTGTCTTAAAAGTATAACGAATGATAGTTTAGGGTATATTTGTCCGTTTTCAGTAGTTTTAATTAAAGCCACATTTGCCTAACACATAGAGTAATTTTAACTAGTTTTCTTTGAGTCTTTTTAAGTATAATTTACAACAAAGTGTAAGAGAATAGATAATTGTACTACTTATTTAGGGCCTTATTTTTTATTTTTTTCATATAGAAAATTAAAAAACTACTCATACAAATAAAATAAAACTACTTGTACAAATAAAATGTAAAATAAAACTACTTGTACAAATAAAACAAAAAACTACTTAAATAAGAGGATATTAGACTCAACTTGTTCTTCATCCACATGTATTTAGCCTTTTTCATTTTTTATTACTGTTTGAATGATTGTATATGAATTATTATCTTCCTTTTAGTGCTCTGCAAACAACTACCAAAAGGAGACTTACTTTGAGAAGACTTTGGTGAAGAGAAAGAAGATTTTGTGAAGAACCAAACACAACTATGGCTGATCCTGTAATTGGTGCTACTGTTCAAGTTTTACTTGAAAAGTTGATTTCTCTCACTATTGAGGAGCTCAACAGCTCAAGGGATTTCAACAAAGATCTCGAAATGTTGACACAAAATGTATCATTAATCCAAGCTTTCATTCATGATGTTGAAACACCACTAGTTGAGAAACAACAGTCTGTCGAACAATGGCTCAACAGGCTTGAGAGAGTTGCTGAAGATACTGAAAATGTGTTTGATCGATTCAGATATGAATCTCTCAAAACAAAAGTGATGAACATCCGAAACAGCCCAATGAAAAAGGTCAGTGGTTTCTTTTCTCATACTGCTTTTAAGAGAAAAATGTCTCAAAAAATCAACAACATCAATAAAGAGTTGACGGCTATTAATAAGTTAGCCAAAGACCTCGGTCTACAATCACTCATGGTTCCTTCTCGGAAAATACTACCAATTCGAGAAACAGATTCCTTAGTAGTTGCTTCAGATGTTGTTGGTAGAGATTTGGATGTTGCTGAGATAAAGGAGAAGATTTTGAAGATGAGAGAGGAGGATGTTGTTCTGCCCACCATTCCCATAGTGGGTATGGGGGGTTTAGGGAAAACAACTGTGGCTAAGAGGATTTACAATGATGAACACATCAAGCAAATCTTTGAAAAGAGAATGTGGCTGTGTCTACCTGAAATGTCTGAAACGAAGAGCTTTCTTGAACAAATCCTCGAATCATTGACAGAGAGGAAAATTGAGGTCCAAAGGAGAGATATAATAGTCAAGAAGTTACAAGATGAATTGGGAGGAAAAAACTATTTGCTAGTCCTGGATGATTTGTGGTGTGTTGACTCTACATTGTGGCATGAGTTCGTTGACACCTTGAGAGGAATAAATACATCCAGAGGAAACTGCATTCTTGTGACTACTCGTATGAAGCGGGTGGCATCCACAATAGCAACAGATCTTCATATCTTGGGAAAGTTACAGAAGATCATTGTTGGTCTATTTTCAAACAAAAAGCATTTGTTGATGGCAGGGTTCCAGAAGAATTAGCGAGCATGGGCAACAAGATTGTTAAAATGTGTCAAGGTCTACCATTGGCTGCAAGTGTGTTGGGAGGCCTCTTACACAACAACAAGGAAAAACATGAATGGCAAGCAATTCTTGATGGCAACCCCATTGTTGCAGGTGAAGATGATAACAGGGAAAATAGCATAAAAAAAATCCTAAAACTCAGCTATGATTATCTACCATCTCCACATCTAAAAAAATGCTTTGCTTACTTTGCAATGTTTCCAAAAGATTTTGAGTTTGAAAAGGACCAACTAATCCAACTCTGGATGGCAGAAGGATTTCTCCGTCCATGTCAAGAGACCACCATGATGGAAGACGTTGGGCACAGGTTTTTTCAAATCTTGTTGCGAAATTCCTTGCTGCAAGATGTTAAGCTAGATAAGCACAACAGTATAACACACTGTAAGATGCACGATCTTGTCCATGATTTGGCTGGAGATATCTTAAAATCTAAACTATTTGATCCGAGGGGCGATGGAGGAGAAAATCTTTCTCAAGTGCGATACTTTGGATGGGACTCACCAAGTGGTCAAATAGATGAGATAAATGAGCCAGGACGTTTGTGCACACTGTTTTGGAGAAGCAATTATATATGGGAAGACATGTTGTTGAGCTTTAAGTTCTTGAGAGTTTTAAATTTATACAGTTCAGGAATCAAGGAGTTGTCGGCCAAAATCGGGAAGCTAATATACTTGAGATATCTCGATCTCTCGAACACTAAGATCACAACCTTGCCCGACTCCATTTGCGAGCTCTATAATTTGCAAACATTTAGAGTCAATAACTGCTATTCACTCAAGGAACTTCCATATGAGATGGGAAATATGATAAGTTTGAGACACATATATTACTATCCGTCTCAGATGCCACTTAACATGGGACAGTTGACTTGTCTTCAGACCCTACAGTATTTCAATGTGGGTTTAGAGAAAGGTCGTCGAATAGAAGAATTAAGTGGTTTGAAGAACCTTAGAGGTGAATTAAAGATCAATGGTCTCCAATTGGTTCGTAATAGAGAAGAAGCTCGAATGGCATATCTACGGGAGAAATTGCATATTTACAAGCTGGTATATCTATGGTCCCATGACGAATCAGAAGGTTGTGAGATCAATGATGAGCATGTGTTGGATGGTCTTCAACCGCATCCTGAATTGAAAATATTTCAGGTGAAGAACTATTTGGGTACTAGATTTCCTTCATGGTTCGGTGAAGAATCGCTACCAAATTTGGTCAAGTTGAATTTAATTGGTTGCAAAATGTGCAAAGAAATTCCATCTCTTGGCCAACTGAAATTCCTTCGGAGTCTTGCATTGATAGGGTTCCATGATGTGGAATGCATTGGAACTACATTTTATGGTATTGGGGTTAACAACAAGGGATCAAGCAGCAATAATGTCAATATCCAAGTGTTCCCATCCTTAAAAGAACTTGTATTGCAGGATTTGCGTAGCCTTACTGAGTGGAAGGGAGTGGAATTGATACCAACAAGTGGGGTAAGAATGTTTCCTGGGCTTGAGAAGTTGAGCATTAGTTTCTGTCCATTGTTAAAAAGTACTCCGAATCAATTTGAAATCCTACGTGAATTAGAGATTGTCCTAGTTGACAGTGAAATGCCACTGTTGAACTTGTGCAGCAACTTGACATCTCTCATAAAACTCACTGTCCATTCTGTGAAAGAGCTCACTTGTCTTCCTGATGAGATGCTACGCAACAACGTTTCTCTTCAACACCTTTTGGTCTCAGGCTGCAGTGAGTTTCGTGAATTGCCACTGAGCTTGTACGATCTCCATTCTCTTAGGAGCTCAAGGATTGTGCACTGCACCAATTTCAGTTCTTTTCCTGTTCCCAGTGGAGAGAATTATTTGACTTCCCTCCAATGTCTTCAGTTATGGGATTGTGATGGATTGAGCAGATTACCAAGTGGAATGCTAGAGCATTGTCGGTCTCTGGAATCTTTGACGGTCAGCTGCTGTGATAATTTAGTTTCATTCCCTTTACATGTGGGGGAAATGCCTTCACTTTCCAATTTGGATATATCAGAATGTCCCAAATTAATTAGTGTACCCTCAGGGGGCCTTCACCGTCTCACCCGGTTAAGGATATTGGATATTGGTCCTTTCTCAGAGATGGTGGATTTTGATGCATTCTAATTGATTTTTAATGGCATTCAGCAGCTGTTGTCCCTTCGTACATTGAGGGTGTATGGACATGGTCACTGGGATTCTCTGCCCTATCAGTTTATGCAACTCTCTGACTTAACAGAGATCCAAATATATGGATTCGGAATCGAGGCTCTTCCTCATAGATTTGACAACCTTACTTCTCTTGAAACATTAACGCTAGTGAGGTGCAAACGAATACAGAACCTGGACTTCTCATATGTCATGCCCAAATTACAATATCTGTGTGTAGATGAATGTCCATTGTTAGAAGCTCTGTCGGATGGGCTTGGCAACATTGTTTCTTTGCAACAGTTAAGTTTAGAAAACTGTGAGAAACTAGAGCATCTGCCATCCAGAGATGCCATGCGACGCCTCACCAAATTATGGAAACTGGAAATTAAAGGATGCCCACAGTTAGAAGAAAGTTGCACCAATCGGAGTGGCCCAAACTCCCAGTGGTCCAACATTTCGCATATTGAAAAAATTGAAGTTGGGGGAAGCATAATTCAGGACTTGCGTAAGTGTCTGTTTCTCTTTCAATTTCCGAGTCGCATTTTTAATTATTATTTTCCACGAGTTACTCTTCTCCATTCTCCAAACATTTTTCTGTTCCACTTCAAACAAACTTATGAATATCTATATTACTTTCAAGATATGGTTTAATCATGAATATTTATGTATTTTTTTCTCATTGATTATTAGTTCCAAGGTTTTTCTAGAACGTCATTGTGGCATTTCAAGTCAAAATCCATGGGTGGCAATTACGTTAGGTGCACTTTCATTTAGAATGCTATAACAAGTTTTCAAGTTTTTTTTTTTGCACTCTTTTTTTTTCTCATGACACAATTTTATTGTTTAACAGGGTTGGTTATGTTCGACGGAGGAACCAACACGTTTGCTTTGTTGATGAACAGAATCTTCAGCCGTAGACTCTTTCACGAGCATTTAGTAAAGACTACATAATCTCTCAACATTTTACTCTTCATTACAGGGATACCAACAACTATTTAGTACACAGTTGCTTATTTGCCCAAGCGAAACTATTCTTTTAATGAAATATAACCTTTTTATTGAGTTAATGAAAATAAAAGACTAACAAGTATTTTTGGTAAATAATGAATGAGTAGTTCAACCAACCAACAAGTACCATGTCCTTTTTTTATGATACTTTAACTGCTTGCTGCAGACTTATGTAGCGTTCTAGACTTTCCCTTTTGAATGTTCACTTGAAATCTGTTTTTTTCTTCTTTTCTGTACAAAAGAAGCGTAAACTCAATATCAGCTCAGGTACAAAATGTATATCCCGGCTGACACACGATTCTTAGATGCAAGACTGATTTCATTTTGGAGACTCTGGTTGCACAAAGCTAGAAAATTCAAGGTAAGTCAGTTTTTGTAAATAAAAGATTGCAAAATGCTGTTTTTACAGCATATACCTTCATCTTTTTTTTTTTTTTTTTTTTTTGTATTGTTGTTTGTAAATTGAAAACTCTGTAAGAGCAATCCTATGTAAATTCATATAAGTTTCTTAGTAAGGCGTAATCTTATACTGGTTTGATTTTTATACTTTAGACGGTAAAGATAAATCTATACATATATATATATATATATATATATGCACACTTGTTACTTTTGCTTCATAGCAAAGGATAATTCATTGAAACATTTGTAATTTAAGAAAAAGACTGCTATGTCTTGAATCTTATATAAAAGAGTGCCTCATAGGCTCTAAACATGTCCTTAGCAATACCTGTATATCTTAATAGTTCTTGCTTTCACTAAAATCTCTTTTTCGTGGTTGTTTGCAACGAGTTGCTTCTCCATTTCCCAAGGATCGGAGGAAATGTTTGCCAAAATTGACATTTTAATTTACCGTCTCCTATGTTTCAGATTCTTGGATGAAACAATGGCATGAAACTTGTCAAGATGGTATACTGGAGCAGACTTCTCTTAGATGTGTTTACATTCCGCGGAAACTGGAGAGGAGATATTGTTTACTTGCATGACTAAGATTTGACAGCTGAGGCCTTTCTTGCACAGTGTTCATGCCTTTTTGTACAAAGAGTTTTTTGTTTCCAGCAAACATTTTGAACTTAATACTTAGCTGCTGCATCATTGCCTAGTTCATATACTGCTTCTTTAAACAGTAAATGTAGCTGTGCTTTTCCTCTTCAAATTCATCTTCGCTATTTTTTTACTACATTCATTGACACCCCTAAAAGAAAATACTAGGTCCGCCTTTGCTTTAATGTAGCTGTGCTTTTCCTCTTGAAATTTATCTTGCTAGTGTTTGCGCATAATAAACAATGAGGATAGGGCCTAATCAAATGGGTGAGTTGGGTTGCAAGTCACAAAAGAGCATATTGTCAACCCACGCTTATAAGATTGTGAAAGATTCGTGAGCAAGTTGTCAAATGTTATATGATGAAAGTCAAAGTTGGTGATAGTATACTTTAAAGATGTAAATTACAAATTATTCTCGTGGATAAAAAAAAGATGATTCATACAGGGGTATATTCTTTCTCACATATTTTTTTTCTTTTGACTATTTATAATGATAGACTAATTTGAATTTAGTATTTTAATGGTCAAATTTATTTATTTTTATTTATTTTATTGTAAAGTTTATCATAAATGTCCCAAATATGTTTTTTATACATATAAAAACTAAATTACAATATAGCTACAAAATATAATTTATTTTTTAGCTTTTTAATCCTTTTCCATTCATACTTTTTTCTTTTTATTTTATCCGATTTTACACTAAAAATGAAAAAAAAAAGAATATTAAAGAAGTCAAAAAATAATTTATGTCTGAAAATATCAAATACATGATTTTTTAAAAGAATTATAATTAAAAAAATAATAATTTTTTTTCACTTTTATAACGATAGGGATATATGTGTCACTTTTAAATCGAAATGGTATATATATGAGTCATTATTATAACAGTAAGGTATATATGAGCTATTTTTTGTAAAAAAAAGTATTTCAACTGTAAATGATAAAATTGAGGAGTATATTAAACCATTTTTCCTTTATAAAAAAAAACTACTTATATAAATAAAACAAATTTAAAAAACTAC